ATTTTATCATTAGAAATAACGAAAATATAGAAAGACGATCCATGTTTATTACATTATTCTCTACTTTATTAGAAAAAAATATAAATAAATTCAGAAGGGACCTGACATATTACAAACATCATATAACATTATTTTATTGAATGATTTATATTATATATCTAACAACCGTCTGAAAGGGTTTTAGTCTACTGAACAAATGTTATTAAAGAAACACAGTGGTCTTAATATTCATTTTAGCACCTGTTACAGCTCATTTCAGGTATCTGTGACGCATTTCAAAATTGAAAACAGACGTCAGGTTCTCATGCAATGCCACAACAATATAGTTTGAATGTTCAGACTTTAGTCCAGGGTGCGAGCGAAATTTACACGTGCAAATATCATACGAAACTTCGGGCCTAACCTTGTTACCAGAATCAGAACCTCTCTATGTTAAAGGCGTTTTTCAGCTCATTTCAGCTATCCGTAACGCAAAATTGAAAACCGATGTCAGGTTCTCCCAATTCAATTTCAACAAAGTACTTTGAAAGTGCAGACTGAGGTCCAGGATGCGAGCGAAATTTATACATTCAAATACGAAACTTCGTGACACCTAAGAATCAAAACACGAACATAGTCTATCTCCATGTTAAAGGCGTGTTTCAGCTCCTTTCAGGTATCCTTATCGCATTTCATAAGTGAAAACTGACGTTAGGTTCTCCACAATTCAACAGCAAGTTTCAACTGTGGTCATTTCCAGGATGCAAACAAAATTCGCACGTACAAATACCATACGAAACTGCGCAACTGACCTTGTGAGAATAAGAAAAAATTCTTCCATATTCTAAAGGCGTGTTGAAGATCATTTCAATTATCCGCAACGCATTACATAAGTTAGAACTGGCGTCAGCTTTCTGCAATTTACTGAAGAAAGTTTTGGCTGTGGTCAATGATGCGAGCGAAATTCACACATTTATTATTGTCCAAGGAGCTAGTGAAATATTAATGGCAGATGTGTGCTTCAGCTTCACCATACAGGAATAATTTTGGCACAAATTTTCCTCCCAGAGTTCACAAATATATATACATATATTATTTTGTTTATATTATTATTCACCTTTTGTCGAAATAGGAAATCATCTTTGAGTCGGTTATAAAATCTTTTTCACAATTAATTAACGATTAATGAAACTGGTGATACAATTTGTTCGATATGGCTAGACAAGACAATATGGCTCGCCAAATTCTAACACAAAAATCGTTTGATAAATAATGATTTAAGCCATAACAATATATTATCCTGTATGTACAAGTACAAGTGCTAAGTGAAAAATAACACTTGAAATTTTGAATGCAATAAAGAACGTATCTTGTTGAAAGATGTGGGTATAAATTGAACAGTAATCGAGTTTTTGGAGCCGCTCGACCTACGAAACTTGATTTTAACAATTTATTTCTACCTAGCATTTATAACATATAAATATTTAACGAGAATCCGTGGCTGCGAACTGTTCCTGATGGATTTCTCACACCCACAAAACTGTTTTCCTGGACGAAAACCGTGCTTCCAAACTCCCAGGAGAAATGTCTTTCCAAGTGTTAAAGTAGTTTCGTTGAAGCGTTAACATTGAGTATGATTCTGTAATCAAATAACCCGGCTCTATAGCCAAATATTGGAATGAAGCTTTTTACAATTTCACGCCCTGCTTTTTAATCGTAAACGACAGAACTATAAAGGATGTTGGTAATTGCTACGAACAACAATACGACACTAAAAGTGATAGCGGCATACGACTTTTAACCACAGAACACCATTACTAACTACCGCAAGTACGAGTATATTTCACGACAGAAATGAAAATCATGGCGTTGAAATTAGTCAACGACAATGCAACACTTAAAGATGGGTTCCCTTATTTTCATTTATGAAATTGGAAATGCTAATACTTATATGAATAGAGAGTATAGGTGTTCTAATGACTTGGAAAAGTTTGTCTCACATGTCCATAATTATTTCATAATTAGCTAAATTAGAAGAGAATTACCAGCAGAATTGCAACGAGTGACCGATCAAGAAAGGTCAAGAAGTCTTTTTTTTTTGTTTATCCAGACTGTACATTCATGGACATTTGTGATTGGTTAAAACTCTTAATTAAATGCAATTAGAACATAATGATATGATTAAGAATACATGACAACTCCAATTAATTAAATCTATAAAGTGATAGAGGAGTACGACTTTTCACCACCGGATATCATAACTGATTTGGATGGTGTAAAAGGTTTAGATTACTCTAAGGAATAGTATGGTGTTGAAATAATTGCTTCGAACAACGCCAAAACACTTAAACTGATATTGGCGTGCGAGGTTCAACCACCGAATATTATAACTGACTACCGCATGTTTAATGTGACTAGGTTGTTATATTGCGATATGCTTGTAAAATATGTTGTTAGATAAGTTGCAAAGAGTGATATTACAAAACTCAAAATGATAGTGGCGTGCGCCTTTTAACCAACGAATATCATAACTGATTACCACATGATTGCTAGTTTGACACTGTGGTAGTCTTATAAGACTTTTAACTATCAAAAACTTAAATGACTTCCAGTTGAAGTTAATGAAAATACGAATCGTATCTCAAGAGGCATTTTTGGGTACGACTCCGATTTGGATTTGGTGACTGGTTTCATATTTATCTATTTGACCTTTAGACTGTTCCCCGTGTGAATTGATCGCAGTGGTTTAATGGGGCGAAAGGAAAAACAACGAAATAATATGGTATTCATACTTTGATTTTTTTTTGGTAAGAAATATGTAGCCTACGTGGGAGATAGATTACTAAAAAACAAACATTTAGGGAAGTCTGTCTTTAAGCCTTTAAGTGGACAAATCTTTACCGAGCGATCTGTCTGTAAAGCCCTGGTTTAGATACAGACGTAATGTCTCTCGACAATAGTTGACTAATAGATATTGATATCGAAAATAAACTCTGATTCAATTAAACTGATCGTCTAAAGGTCAACAGAGTTAAATAGACAACTTAAGTTTCATTCTGTCTGAGGTGGCAAGATGGTTGAATATCTTGAGAAGGAAAGTTGTCTGGGGCGAGAAGATGTCTTGTCAGGGAAGATGCTGTCTGGGCAGGGAAGTACTGCTAGGACGAGATACGGAGATAACTCTGAGTATGGTTCTGAAGCTGTCGGAGGGGAAAGTTTTCTGGTCAGGGAAGTTGCTGGGACATATGGGGGCTGTCTGGTCAGGGAAAATGTCTTGAGCGAGATGCTGTCTGGTCAGGGAAGCTGACTGAAGCTCTCTGGATGAAGCAGATGTCAGGAGTGGGAAGATCTAAGTTCAGGAAAACTGTGGAGGATGAATCTGTGGCTAGGGAAGATGTTTAAAGAGAGAAGCTATCAGGATAGGGGACATCTCTTGAGAGAGAAACTCTCTGGAGAAGAGGGCATCTCTACAAAGACAAGCGTTTTGAGCATGGAATTTGTCTGGAGGGAAAATGTCTGGAGAAGTTTCTGAATATGTCCGAGAAAAATCTGGTCTTTCCCGCGGACGCGATACTGGAATGAATATTTGGATCGTTAGTGTTCCAGAATCAAAAGCCAAATCTGGTATTGGTATCTGTACAAAACTGAACCATTCATGTGTACATCTAGGACATTGCCGAATATTTTTTCTGTGCCCCAAACTTTACAACAATACGGTCAAGGGATAGGCTTCTCCCTTTTGTGCACAGTTCAGAGAGTGAAGCCGACCCCTGGATCCTAATGTGGTACTGTGTTGAATAGATATTACCTTGCTCTATTTGGAGAAATGAAACAGTGTAAAGGGTCGTCGTTCACCAAACTACATGGCATGAAGTCACGGTAAACCATCTAAGGGGATAAGTAAGTTCACAATAAATTCATCTTGATAATAAAAGGTAGAGACGTAGACTCATTGAGATCATAGTAGGCCAACCTAGGTGGTGATGAAGAAAGCATATTGTGTTAAAATCGTAACTAAACCTAGATACTCTAAACTCGTGTTTAATAGTGGTGGCTATCAATCTAAGTCCTACTGAAGTCCAATCTAGATGGTGCTAAATTATGGAAAACCAACCTAGAGGGAGTAAAGGATATAGAAATATTTCTATATGTCTTATAAACAGTATATAACACAGAGGTAACGGATGCTGATAAGGATATCAATAAGCTAACTAAGAGAAACTGGAGATATTAGTTCAAACCTTTGTCGTTGCCAGTCACTGTTGCACTGTTGAGTAAAACTTGTAACAGTGTTTAAGGACCTTAATAAACCAACAAAGCTGGTGTAAGGCCACTTTAAACCTATCTAGCTAGAGGTAAATATAACACAGAGCCAGCCAGCTATATATTATGTATTTTATGATAAAAACTACCTGTCAAATTACAAATTTTTCTCTGTACCGTCTGGGAGAAAATTGGTCGTAAATATATAGTTAGGAAATACCCTTATCTACTTTACTTAAACACTTTCTTGTATGAAATTAATATTGTAGACGCTTTTCTTTACATATTTTTTCTGTTTAAAGTTTAGATAATTTGGAGTGTTGCGTCTACTAATAAACTTGATGTATTCTTCTTAAGATAATTCCAATGAAAACTATTGTTAAACAGTTAAACAGTTAAAGAATTTGCAGCATACTAATAGGCCAGTGAAACTTAGCGGAAATACTTCGCAATCAATTACTCTTTTGTCACCGAACCATCGACACATTGTTCGACAGTCATGCTCATTCTTAATTTCAAAAAAGGTCAGAAAACGCTCTTCGCTTCGGCATGTCAGTGATGCAGGTCGGAGAAACTGACATGGACAGCTAGTCTCGACGTGTGCTACAAACTGTACATGCTGAACATCCATCGACAGTTGCAACTCGGAAAAAGGTAGTCAATCTGTGGCCTTATTTGCACAATATCTCACTGCTCAATCCATCTTCATTGACAAAATCAGATGCAAAAAAGTAAGACACTTCATTTTAATTTTATTTTCAGTGTGTACGTTAATGAGCAGTGGTTGTATAACAGTAATTGGAATATCATCACGAGATATGTTACCTATCATCAGTTCACATGTTCATAATAACGGCATCCCTTTCATCTCCATCAATAATCCTGCTAATCCCTTTGATGGTGCCGACTCGCAATATGAGTTTTACATCAAGCCATCGACATCCAGGGCAGTGTGTGACATGATTGATTATTTTGAATGGGAAAAAATTTATTATTTTTACGACAACGATGAAGGTAAGTAATTTTTTGAGAGTAAAACAGTCTTCTCAATATTCGTTTCCTCAGCTGATAGAGTTTAATGTTTAGCTCTCTGGGTCTCTTGCAAATAAGAGCGACTGAAATTGAGCTTTATCGGCTGTTGAAGAACATATTTTGACGACCATATCCCGTACATTTAAAGACTTGAAACCCTTACAAATTTAAAATCCAAAGGGTTCTGTCTACAAGCTGGTCATTGGCTAACTGAAGACATGATGTCTTTATTACTAATCAAAACATTGTTACGATCTATAAACTTTCAACATTCTAAAGAAATAATCCAACTCTGATCGGTCAAACTAGTTCCTCTTTCGAAGTGCTAACGTCGCATATAAATTTTGTATTGTTTATAAATGGAAGTTTTTGACAATAGTGACTTATTAACAGATAAATCCCTCTAGGTATTTTGACATTTTGTTAGTGCTATTTACATGTTATAGGGGCTAATGAATGTGTGGCGCTAGGCAGGGAATGCTTACCTTTCTAGACACCTGATACAACTTTTCATTATGAAATACTCACTTATAATTCATATACTTCCTCATGTGAAAAGTTCATTAGCTGCTACCAAGGCTTCGTCAAAATGTTGGTTTGGATATCGGATTTTGTTCTGCTGTTCGGATCGTTAGTACTTGGTTTATTTATTTGCTCGTGCAATGCTACAACACTTTTGTGATAACAGCAAAGAAGGGTTACAGAGCAGAATAGAATAGCTTTGTTTAAGATAATGACGTATTCAGCTTTGATAAAAATTCTCTAGGTATTTCTGACTGTAACCAGTAGAGAGATAAGAAGCCAGCATAAATACAGAGAGTCCCAAGATCGATGTTAATATGGTTTGAACACATCATTAGCCGCTATATCAAATATGTTTAGTTTTTATCTTCGATCATCTTTCTCCCAGAAATTCTACAAATTGATTCCAATTAGCCATTAATTTCGCTTACATGTCCGTTTTTAGATAATATTTTATTCAATTATAGCTGTTTCCCCCACGTAATTGACTTATTTGAAAGTTATTTCTTATAATCAGTCCATGATGATGCATTATTGAGTTATCTAAGTTTTGGAAAGTCCACATTGCTGAAGATGTTATTTTGATATGTTGGTTTGCCAACTCGCCATCCCTTGCAGAGAATCACATAGCTCTTATTTGGTACTTTGGTTTGTCAGCTTTGCATCCTTTACAGAGAGTCACATAGCTCTTATTTGGTACTTTGGTTTGTCAGCCCTGCATCCGTTTCTAAACGTCTGATGATCCTTATTTTGGTTTTGTTGGTTTATTAACTCGAATTGATCCGAAAAACCTTCTAATGTTTGTAATTCAGAGACTTATTGGGAGAAAGGTGATTCCAAAACTCATCACATAACTGACATACAAAAGTAGAATTTATAAGAGCTCAATAGCCGAGATAGGTTTTAGATATAAAATGCTCATCGGGACAGTCAATTGACTAGAGTTAATTTTATGCTGCTGACATTGGTCTCTCATTCCAAAGTTCGGCAGGTGTCACTGTCCGAAAGACCATCTTCGCTTGCGACACTAACCACCAATCATCCTAAAGGTGCTGGCACCGGAACAGTCTTGGTGTAAAATCTCGCGTATGTCCGTGCTTCCACGACAAGGATATATATAACAAAAGACCCACTGGAGATTTTTGTCTCCTCGCCTTTCTGCGGACGGTGTAACTCTTGACATGACTCTAGCTGGCGACGACCAAGACCGTTCGTGTGTACTTAAATAGGTACGATTAATACTTGATGTTGAGATTTCCAAGAATTGTGCAATATTTACTTAAAATTTCACATTTGAAATAGTGCTGTAACCATGATGACATTTGCAGAGTCACGAACGAAATCAGCCACCGCAGCAACCTAGAATCAATATGTTATGGAATCTGGACTATCAACCGTTATGATTTCATTAAATGTAGCTAAACTACAAAAATACAAAAGGTAGTTCACTCAATGGTTTCTTGTGTGTTGTAGAAACGATGCATCTGTTACGGCATCTTCACAATGTCAAGCTATTACAAGCCTTTGACTGCAATAGCCACCTTTCTTGTGTCATGGAAGTTTGTAAATACAGCGATTCTGGTTGATTGTACTTTAGCGAATACAGCCAATCAGAGTCCTCGAAAAAAATCTGTAAATAATAAGCCAAAATGTTTACAGTTGTCTGTCGATGTCTATGATTGGTTGTGTTTGCTGGCGTACAATTCAATCAAATCACTGCGTTCCGTGATACAAGAAAAATGGTCATTTCAGTCAAGGTATAAGGAATTCGCAAAAGCTTGATTTTGTGAAAACGGTGTATCCAAGCAGATTTAAAATGGGACGTGAATTGTATTGTCCAGACGTTCTATTATATGTACATGGCAGATGCAATGTCAATAAATGTCTGGATGATTGAGACTAAGCAATTTTCGTAACATCCATATTGATTTTAAATTTGGAAAGTCATAGAAGTACAAACGTTCTATTTCCCGGGGAAGCAAATAATATGACAAATATCCCTTTAACTGGTTCAAATCGACATTTAGAATCCATTGTCGTTCAATAAGGTTTTTATCAACGATTTTAACTAAATTAACCCTCAGACTAAAAAAATATATATCTTCATTTACTGATCTTTCTGGTGTCCCGGGGGTTAACATTTTACAAAATAAAGTATCGATAATAGAAATTCTTCGTTTTATTTTCGTCTGATTTCGTCAATTGTACGTCTGCGTTATGTCAGGGCGAATGCTTTGATGTATTCCCGTGTCGTTAGTAAAGTCCAACACAGTTAGTCTGTAAACGTAATTGTATTTTAGAGGATTTTCGCCATTGAAGCACTTCAAGTACGAAATTTTGCCAGACTCGGCTCGGCTCCTAAGGCAAGGGGCCATGGCTAAAGAAATATGCACATTTTCGTAGTTAAAATGCAAAAATATTGAATTTCAAATTGTATAAAATACAAGGTTTAAGCCTTTCTCACGGATCTCTACCCTCTTAAAATAGATTTGAAAAAAAATTTTCGATCCAAAGTCCTGCAGTCGTCAATGAACTCCGCTTTACTAATATTCTTCTGAGTCTTTAGAATCATAAAAAAACCTCGAAATACTTAGAAAATGGCTGTACATTCAATAGATATTAATGCTTAGCATCAACACCCTTACATACCATATATTTGCGTGTATAATGCGCAATTTTTGTACACAAAAATATATCGGTCACCCTTGCCTGATTTGAAGCTTTTGTTTGATAATATCTGTTTGCTGCTTGGGTCATATTTTACATTAAAAGCCATTTCACATGATCGATCTTTTATTTTTTCAAATTTTGCAACACAAATTTAAAAAAACTTGGTTTCTTTCCCTAGAATGGCGAACACTTGATTTTTTCTATCGTTTGGGAGCTATGAATATGTTTAAAACACAAATATTGTGAAAATCAATAAAATTCTTATTTGATTTTACAGCATTAAGTAGAATGGAGGCCACAACAGACTACCTTCATCAGATTTATATTCCACCGGAAGTAGATATCCGCCATGTTTTTAACGTGTACGAAACGTATGAAACCATTAAAAATCTCCATATGGTAGATCGGGGTATGATTATACGAATTGTGCTGGATCTTATCCCCCAAAATGCAGAAATTTTCTTAAATAAATTGGTGAGATTATTTTTTTCTGATATTTTTTTGAGATATATGTATTGCTGTGTATTCTCAACCCTCGCCTTATCAGTTATTTTGAAATTATTTGGGGGTAATGAGGCGCTTTGTAGTCTAGCATAATCCTTTTTTTTTAAGTTTATATTCTCCGACATGAAAAAGATTGCAGGGTAAACCTAAAAGATATTACTAAATAGTACGGTTTTATGAGGGGGGGGGGGGGGGGGGGTAATGCAATCGATCAAGGGTCAAAGAAAAGAAAAAAAAACCCTCCCCCCATTTAATTCCTTTTTTTTCTTTTTTTTGCAGATGAATGACAAAAAAGTTTTAAAAATGAGATTCCACATTTTGTTACCTCATGTCGTAAGTTTTATTAGATATAGATTTGGCAATCGGTTGATGTTATAAGAGCATTGAAACAAATTGAGAGTCTGGCTGAGAAATTTTCTCCTGTATATAATAGAAAGTGCATGGTGCTACAAGCAAAGAATCACAGAAGTATGAAACGTTAATCGCATTTGATTTGATTTCATACCCTTGGATGAATGCGTAAGACTGCAATATTCTTCTTTAATATCTTTTTATTTCGTTTCAGAATATGAAGGAGTTAAATTTAACAGTTTTAAATATAGGAGGAGTAAATGTTACTGGGTTTGAATTACAGAGAGAAGGTCACTATTTTAATTCTTCCTTGAATTTATCTCAAGTAAGTTGGTTTCACTCCTACTCTGTCCATGTTTACCAGACATAGTCTATGTGTGTATTATACAAGCTTCAAACGAAGGATCTAGCATCAGTTAGCATGGTCGCAGATTTCGATCGATCAAAATTATACTGAAGGTAGAACCTGAAAACTGAAGGCAACTGACAGGTTGTATACCTAATAAGGTCGCCGCGATTGAACTGACTCTCCTACTTCCAGTCGTTCTCAGTTGTCCACTAGATCTTCATATTACTTCATGTATTCGGAGGCAAGGGAGATCTCAGTTTTATATACCATATAGCTCATAAGCACTCTAAAAGAGTCTTCGATAAAAGACAAAAGCAAGAAAACCTTATCTGAAACCCTTTAAGATAGATATAATATGACAAAGATAGACATAATATAACAGAGTGACAATTTCATTTTTATTCAACGCTAACATTAATACATTTTTATACATTTCAGTTTGAAAATGCATTAGCCATGGATTCTGTAGAATTGTTCACAAAATCTATAGAGAAATTACAAAAGATACACGGAAGTTTAAGTTTATTTCGTAATTTGAGTGGTTGGAGTGACAGTTTGACGACAGATGAGATTAGTTGTATTGATGATGGTACTAGGTTATGGTTGTACAGGCGAACCCTGGCTGAAACCATGTCAAAGGTCAGTAATCGACACGTATTTCAATCCATCAAGGCAAATTAGACAAATTCCAGTTGCCGAATTTAACAAAAATAAATTTGTTCGATAAATTGGAAATATTAATGTGATAGGCCTATTCTCTGAATGTATAGTTTATTTGATGTCGGTAAAAGTGGTTACACCTTGAAGTTACCAAAAACATTATGATAAAAGACATTACAGACTTCAGCTAAATACAGCCAATCGGGTCCTTCGACGGAAATACGGCGACTCTGAATGCTGTTTTCAGTGCTGCTAGTAGTTTGCAACGCCTGGATTGAATTGCAAGAGAATGACGTTATTTTAAATCTCAAAAATGATTTGCTTGGGCTGAGATTCATATGTTAGTGGTTGAGCACATACATGTATATATAATTTAGTATCAATTTAAGTAGCAATGTGATATAGTCCTTTTATATTGCAGATGGATTTAAGAAATGGCCACACGGGAAGAATAGTGTTTAATAAAGCAGGTCAAAGGACAAATTTCACATTAGATGTTAAACAAGTAACCATGTACCGTGGTATCCATGCGGTGCGATTTTATTGTTACTTATACGTTTCTCTTTTACCGATTCCAACTTTATGGTTTAGTTTTTTCACCTTGTTTCATTTGTACCTTATACCAACATCTTCACAATGACAAACTATTACGAACATATACCTTGATTACAATGTAATCCCAGAATGCAGCAATTACCGTGGATTTTATACCATCAAATACAGCCAAGAGAACTCACGAATGGCTGTAAGCATTATGACTTTGTGTCGAGGCCTCTGATTGGCTGTATTTGCTATAGTACAAACAATTTACAAACTTCCATGATACATGAAAGGTGGCTATTGCAGTCAAGGTATAAGTACACAGTTCTTATTATCTTGGCATTGTGAAGATGTCTATCAATTGCCTAAACATACTGTTATGTGCTTCATTTTGAATTTTATGTCAGTTTCTTTGAAAATATCTCTTATTATGACTGGATAATTGATACACAAAATTTTATGGATGAATATTACAAATCTGTTTCTAGCATCTTGGCTGGTCAGATAAAAATTGTATAATTGTATCTCATGCTGTTGGCCTAGACTATATAGTAGTGGCGGTTGTAGCGCTCAAAGCAGATCATGCTTACTCTTTTCGAAACACCTGATGGTACTTCTCTTTGGAGGAGTCCACTACTATACAACTTTTACTCCCGCTTTTGCCATTCTTAGACGAGATTTTGATAAACGAAATTTTCTTGCCTGTGCGAATTTTTATTATGCATAATTTGCACCACAAAGATTTATCCTTTTCGTTTCTTCTTTCTCTTCCCAAACACAAGGTTTTGGTTTGCTTTTGCTTGTTTGTGTGTTTATCCACCTCTATATCCATTGCCATTGTCTTATATAACAGTTTTATGTCGTATTGTTTGTTTTCTTAAGTGTCGGATATAACATGCATTTAAGCTATTTCGGTTTTAATTTTTGCAGTTTTAATATGGTTTAACCTGTGTATTGTGTATATAAATTCTCTTTATCATTACATTATAGTGACAATATGTACAGATCTACTAGACATCTTCACTAGGCCAAGCATATACAAACTGTGTCTTAGGACGTAAAACTCCATTCATTTCATATTCCTTTAACAAACTGTGTCTAATACATCATTAGGTGCTTTTCCTGTATTGCGGAATGTTTTAAATGCGTCAATATGATTGGATTATACACTAGAGAATACAGCCAATGACAACCCCCGATGACAGGCACAACCAATTATCTACAGTCTATAAGTAGAAGCCTCTGATTGGCTGTACCTCTAGCATACAATCCAATCAAATCGCTGCATTTACAGACTTCTGTGATAGAAGAAAAGTGGCTATTAATGACAGGTATAAGATGCTGTTTGTAATAGCTTGACATTGTGAAGATACAGTTCGTAATAGCTTGACATTGTGAAGATGCTGTTTGTAATAGCTTCACATTGTGAAGATGCAGTTCGTAATAGCTTGACATTGTGAAGATGCAGTTCACATGCTGTTTGTAATAGCTTCACATTATGAAAATGCAGTTCGTAATAGCTTGACATTGTGAAGATGCAGTTCGTAATAGCTTGACATTGTGAAGATGCAGTTCGTAATAGCTTGACATTGTGAAGATGCAGTTCGTAATAGCTTGACATTGTGAAGATGCAGTTCGTAATAGCTTGACATTGTGAAGATGCAGTTCGTAATAGCTTGGCATTGTGAAGATGCAGTTCGTAATAGCTTGACATTATGAAGATGCAGTTCGTAATAGCTTGACATTATGAAGATGCAGTTCGTTATAGCTTGACATTGTGAAGATGCAGTTCGTAATAGCTTGACATTGTGAAGATGCAGTTCGTAATAGCTTGACATTATGAAGATGCAGTTCGTAATAGCTTCACATTATGAAGATGCAGTTCGTATATAGCTTGACATTATGAAGATGTGTTCTGAAATAAGTAGCATGAATGTAAAATATCTATATGTTTTTCTATTACTAGTTAAGCGTAGAATGCTATGGTGAAAAAATAAATGACAAGGTTCTCTTTTGGGATTGATTTAAAACCCCGGACAGTGCAAAATAAAGAAATTGATAATCCTATACAAAGAGGAGAAAATATGTGTACTACACAAGTTGTATTTTAATATACTTAATACTTTCACTTGATTGTATTTTTATTGTGATGATTCAAATGCTTCACTTTTCTTAAGAGGTTTTCTCAAAAAAATTATGTGTGATGCCATCAGTGTCCCCTATACACATACATTTATTTTAGAAAACTTCTTTACAATCCCTTTAAAATAACTAACTACATATTTAGTATAACAATAACTTTTCTTTCAAGAGTTACTTTTGTTCCAAATTATACTTGCAGCATCTGCATAACAACCATCTGTTTTGCAAAAAATGCCAAAATTCTAAAGTTAGAATAAAGTTTTCTATACTTCACCATATAATATTGGCGGAATTGGTGGGTTGTAACTTACTCTTATTTGTTTTTACAGGGTGGGTCGTGGAGTTACTTAGGCTACAGACCACAGGGACCAGAGCCAATCTTAGATAAAGCTAATAGAAAAATTGATAACAGAACTCGTATTGTGGTTTCAATAGAGGTTTGTAAGAATAGTTTTCTGTCAGCTATTTCAAATTACTCGTATTTTGCCAGGTTTATAGATGGAGTAAATTCGTTGTTCAATTTCGATTTTGAAAAACATGAATATCGTTCATTATAATTATCTTCTTCATCAGTATCATCGTCATCTATCATCTACATCATTGTCATAATTATCATCATTAATGTCGTCATCATCAGCATGCATCATTACCCATCATCTTCATCTATCATTATCATCATTAATATCGTCATCATCTATCATTTACATCATTATCATAATTATTATTATTATGATCGATCGTAAGTTATCAGCAATCATGTAAAGCGGCATCATCGTCGTCTATCATTATCATCATTAATATCGTCATCATCATCATCATCATCAAGCATCATGCATCATTGTCATGCATCATCACTAATGACTTATCTTGATTTATCTTAATTTATCTTGATTTATCAGATATCTGCAATGAGCGCAACAGCGTCACCTCTTTAATCATACATATCAACATCTTCATCATCAATCATTGTCCATCTTCTCCATCTATCAAAATCATCATTGATATCGTCATCATCTATCATTATCATCATGCATCATCAATAATGACTTATCTTGATTTATCATGAGTTATCAGATATCTGCAATGAGAGCAACAGCGCCATTCATCTTTTTAATCATACATATCATCATCTTCATTATCAATCATTATCCATCTTCCCCATCCACCATTCCTCTTCTCTTCCAATTATTATTTTTATTATTATTATTATTATTATAATGATTATGATTATTATTATTATTATTATTATTATTATTATTATTATGATTACAGGAGGCGCCATATATAGAATATAGGGAATATCCTAGTTATGGAAGACCTATAGTAGGATCAGATAGATTTACTGGTTATTGTGCTGAATTAGGTGAACGGGTTTCCAGAATAGTCAACTATGACTACCATATAAGGTAATATATTAGACCAGAACTTTTGTAAAAATGTGATGTAAGGGGCGTAACTCGTATATACAAACTCGGCCGAATTAGTCGGCGACCAGTAAGTTAGACTTTCTGTTTGTACAGGCCTTTAGAGTCAAACACATTCGTAATCTCACGAAATTACATGGCTCGAATGTTGATCCTCTCACATTCCCACTACACGCAAGTCCTCAAATATTCTAACATGCATAAAATTTGTACAATAATCATATTTTGAAATTTCTTAAAAAATGAAGCAGAGGTGTAATTCAGTGTACAAACTTATTTCCTGGGGATCCAAATGTTCCTTCTATACCCCACTATCATCGCCACTGACATATTGAAATCGACATAATGATGTTCTTGTTTTTGTGTTTTCTTTTCCTAGATATGTAAAAGACAATACATACGGGAAAATAAAAGAAGACGGGTCGTGGACGGGTATTATTGGAGAATTAATAAGACACGTACGTAACATTTTTTCTGTGGTTGTCTTTGAATCACCAGAGTAACAGGAATGATTTTCACAAACAAACCGTCATGATTGTGTTTGCATACTAATATGGTATAAAAGTGAGGTTGGTTCGAGAGTAACAATCATCAGGAACGTAGCACATTATAGAAAAATTAGATCAATAAGTGGTGTTGGATTTAGTTAGTGCTTGGTGGTTTATTTATTTATCAGGAATATTTCCATTTCAGGAAGCCGATTTAGCCATAGCTCCATTAACCATCACCTCAAAACGAGAACAAGTTTTAGACTTTACTAAACCTTATATGAGTTTAGGAATCAGCATCATGATTAAAAAACCCGAGGATGTGTCACCTCACGTGTTTTCCTTCATGGAACCCTTATCTTCAGAGATATGGTTGTGTACCGCCTTTGCCTTTATTGGCGTGAGTGTTGTGTTATTTCTAGTCAGTAGATTTAGTGCTATAGAATGGCAAGTGGAAGGCACTGATAAAAAAATTCACAATGACTTCACCATAGGAAACTCTATGTGGTTTTCTCTAGGAGCCTTTATGCAACAAGGATGTGATGTTTTACCGAAGTAAGTATACGTAATACATATACTTAATTGGGAACGATACATAGAAGATTAGCATGACTCTTACACAAGGGATAATGCTGTAATTGTAATTGTAACATTATTTATTACACCCTGCGCAAGGATGACACTCAAATTCCATTTTTTTTTTCGCAAGATAAAAAAAGTATTATGTTTTAATATAAAAAAAAGCGTTAATGTGTCTATTAGCCTGTAATGAATGCCCAAGCACAGTGGCGGAGCCAGGTTTACGAAATATCTGAGATTGCCCGAATTTCTCACCTAGTTATGAGATTTTTGCCCTTAAAAACTTGCTTTCGTTGCTGCGAAGGGGGGGGGGGGGCGCTGACCCTCCTGCCACTCCCCTCCCCCCTTTGGCTCCGCCAATGTCCAAACACTGTGGGTTATGTGGATGAGTCGATCATTGCCAAAACACGGCACCTTTGAAGTTGCAACTCGTTTAAGAACCTATATACCATACTATTTTCAAGAAGAATATCGTTAAGTTATGAAATTTTCCCCCATAGAGACTTTAGTTAATGATTGACGAGACATCGTAAAGTGTTTCATTGTTTCATTCTAGATCTGTATCGGGAAGAATGGTGACAAGTGTCTGGTGGTTCTTTACCTTGATAATCATCTCCTCTTACACCGCTAATCTGGCAGCTCATTTAACCTTCATGAGACTAAGTACGCCCATCAAATCAGCTGAAGATCTAGCTAAGCAGACAGAAATCAAATATGGTACTCTATCCTCGGGATCAACTATGGATTTCTTTAATGTAAGGGTCACTTTTGTCTTGCTAATAAATTTGGACAATCGGGTTGCTGGTGTAGGAATTGCTCAAGAAAAAAAACCTTTTCTAATGAAGCTTGATTTTTAGTTTTACTTCCTATATAGCCTATTAGGTCCTATGAGTACAGAAGCTGCGTCAAGTAGTTTTACGTCCTACTTTCTTCACCTATATGGGCTCATGAAGTCAGAAGCTACGTCAAGTAGTTGTGGTCATTTTATATGTCTCGTAATTTGATCGCAAGCAAATTGGTCTCGCGATCAACAGTCGAACCATATATTGCCATATTGTAAACACTAACATTCATCACTGGTCTCTTTTACAGGGTTCAAAGGTCAACCTTTTTCAACGAATGTGGTCGTATATGACGTCACAACCGTCTGTGTTTTACGCTCGAACTGAAGACGGTATACAGCGGGTTCGAAATTCCAGTGGAAAATATGCATTTTTAATAGAATCAACCACCAGTGAATATTATAATAACAGAGCTCCCTGTGATACTATGAAAGTTGGAAGTAACTTGGATTCTAAGGGTTATGGTATAGCTACTCCTATGGGGTCGGACATAAGGTAACTTTTTCAATATCTTGTTTTGAGGATATCAGAGACGTCAAAGGGTTACCGAAGGGATGATGAAGGGAGAAACTTTTTAAATAACCATGACCGCAATATGAGTGGAAACGGAATCCATGGTCACGTAGACTTTGAGTCATTATAGTATTTTTACCTCGCCATATTACAAAGGTTGCCCACTGGCAAATATTTACATTTCTACTATCACTCCCTTCAATAAACCAGTTAGCCAAACCGGCGTTTATTTTCCAATAACTGTAGTTTGTCACGTGACAATAAGGCGTATGAATACATCGAAAACGAAAACAAGGATTGACCCAAGTTTTTTACCAAGAGTCTAATCTAATTTTACAATTTATTTAAATTTACAATTGTTGTTAATATTTCAATGGAATAATAAATATTTGATAATTCTATCATCCAAATAAGACTGTCTTTTTATAGAACTATATTGTTAGGGGCGGGTCGGTGAACTTGATTGACAGATATCGGTGAATTAAGCAACATTTTTACAATTAAAAAATAGAACGTTTTAGCGTATTTTATCAGAAAAGATAAACCAGGGAATGAATGTGGATCTTGTTATCGTTATGGGGAAATAAACGCTGGTTTATCATGTGA